GGATCTTACTTTAGTCTGTTCAACCAAAAAAATCAATTAAATAAATTGATCACATTTCATTTCGGTCCAAATGTAAATTTATGTATCATCCACTCCAAAGTTAAAAATATGACAATCTTTAGTAAAATCTACACAATATTAATCTGACGTTACAAGATTATGGAAATCGATATCTCCACAAATTTGACTATCCGAAATTTAAGAATATCTCAGAAATAAAATCTATGAGGAACTACAAATTTAAAAGTGTGAAATTTGGCTGCTCTTAAATTTATGTATCATTAATCCCTTATATATTAATTGGAGAGTGATTTTTCAAAAAAAAAGCTTAGGTGTCTTCACCAAAATCACTCTTCCATTTTTAGTGTGATATGGCATCCTTTAAAATATGATATGACATTCTCTCTAATTTAACCCATTAATCTTTAATTAAAATTAGCCCAAACACAATAATCAAATTAGCCCAATCTCAAAAGGAGGATAAGAATGATGGCTCAATTGATGAAGTTAAAAAGTGATTATCATATATTTGTTACCATAAATAAATCAAAGAGTTTCTAATCAATATATTATCATGTTTTCATTTTTATTCTAAAGTTTTATACAAATTTAGTTTCTCATTTAAAAATAGTTTAGGAATTGATTATTGTAAAAATAAAATTATAGAACATTTTTATAGAATACATATTCTTTTAAAAATAATAATAAAGACTTACCAAATTTTTAAAAGAGACTTTGATATGTCTGTTAAAATATTTCACAAGTTTATAACAAAAAAAATTTCCAAATTTCCCAATTTTTAAAAGAGACTTTGGATTTTTTTTACGCAACACAATTTGAAAGTAATAAAAAAAATTTTATTCCAAAGCAACAATTATTTTTAATCCACGTAATATTTATAAAATTAATGATTATTTCTTTTAATTTTTTAAAATATTAAATAATTATTTATATTTTAAATTCTACTTAAGGTATTTGGATAACCCAAAGTTAACATTTTTTTTTTAACTCTAATGTATTAAATTATTATACTTTTTGATTTTACATGTGTACATATATAAAATAATTTTCCAAGTTTATAACAACAAATATAATTATTCTTTTAAAATAATTTTCTTAACGCAAGACAATTTAAAAGTAATAAAAACAATTTTTAATTCGAAAGCATCAATTTTTTGTAATTTGTGTTTAATTTATAAAATTTATGATTATATATTTTAATGTTTTAAAATATTAATTAATTTATTTGTATTCTAAATACTACTTAAGATATTCGGACAAATCAAATTTAGCATTTTTTTTAGCTCTAATGTATTAAATTATTATACATTTTGACTTGACATATTTACATATATAAAATCATTAAATGGTAAAACTAAATTTCTGAAATTC